GTGATAACGTCCTAGGAGAAGTGGTGAGGGGAGGAGAAAAGAATGAGAGGATGGCAGGGAAAAGGAAGGAGAGAAGAGATAAATGTGCATGGACAGTTGGGGATCGGAAAATCAAAAAGGATAAGAAAGAGCATATGGGATTAGGGAAGGAGGGAGAAGAGAAGTGCAATTAGAAGGTGTAAGAAAGGGGGAGAGTGAGAGAGAGAATGACAGACAGAACAGAGAAAGAAAATGTGCTGAGCCATGAGATGTGGTGTTGGGGAAGAGAAGGAAACAGTTCCGATATCAGTTTATTTATTTACATTAGCCGACCAGGCTTTTGCATAAAGGAAAACAAGTCAGAGAGAAAAGAGGGACTAGGGAATGAGGGAGAAGATAAGGGTAGGCAAGAACAATGAGACTATGGCCAAAAAAGAAAAAGAGAACAAGATAGGGAGAGGGAGAGAATGAAAAAAACCAAGATGTTTAGCTGTGGGTTGTGAAGGGAAGATAAAGAGGTAAAAATAAGATTTTTAAAAAAGGAATCAAGTGCCTAATTGGATCTGCAAAAGTAAAATGTTTGAACGAGGCTTTTCACTGATAATGGAACGACCCACATACACCTCAGACTGTGAAACGAAATTATACGGCAGCTACATATTCAGGGCTGGGGTGAGGAAGGTAGCGACAGAACTGGAAAAAAACAGCAGGAAGGCAGGAAAAGCCACAAAGCAGCAGTTCTTTATTCAGTGGCTCCTGGGGCAGTGAGTAGTCAAGCAGCTTTCAGGAGTTGAACATGGAAGTGCCTTGCCATAAAATAAGGGGAAGGTTAAGTGATAGGTTCTGCTGTAGGAGGACTGTAACTGCAGAGACATGGTGATTTCAGCCACAGGTGGTGAGATTACTCTGGAGGGGAGGCAGGCATGATTCAAGCCTGTTCCAAGTCATTCCTGTGAGATGAGTCTGGCTGCAAGAACAAAGTAGAGACAGGGTATGGAAATGAGAGTGGGAAATGCGTTTATTAATTGTGATGAAAAATAACTGAGCCCGCCATGAATTATTAGACAATGTTAATGCTTGCTGTTTAGTTCTAACAATGAACATCTCTGGTATGGAACTACAGTGCTGAATAAAGGTTTGCTGAGTTTTATTTACTGAAGGCTGAATTTCTGAACTTGGTTTGCTACCAGACTTGACAGCAGCTGAGTATCTCCAGCACTGACTGTTCCCACTCATTGATCCCTGGTGCCCACTGTGGTTTGAGAAAATTTGAAAGGGTAAGAAGTTGGCTGTCCTGAATCCCCCCCCCTCCTGAGAGTCTACTGTAGTCACTTCAAAATACCCTGTAGCCGTGGGGGCCAGCAGCACACAATAAAATAAAATAAAATAAAATAAAATAAAATAAAATAAAATAAAATAAAATAAAATAAAATCTTTACATTTAAAGCAGCACAATTGTCATGATATTCCTCCCCACACCGTGAGATCCAGATGATGAAACCTTGGGTGTTTGACACTCCTTTAACTGCCATGACTCTATCTCACAGAATCCTGGGATTTGTAGTTTGGTGAGGCAACAGAGCTTTCCAACAGACCAAGTGGAATATCTCACCAAACTACAAATCCCAGGATTCTGTGGGATAGAGTCACAGCAGTCAAAGTGATGTCAAACTGCTTTATTTATGCAGTGTGAATACATCTTGAGGAAAAAGCCTTTCTTGGAAGATCTCAAAAGTTAGGCTAGCCCATATGGGGAGATGCTGGTCTTTGAAATAGTCAAGACCCAATCCATTATTGAACTTTATGCAAAGGGATCTTGTACCGCCTTTCAGACTTACTGAAAGAAAGAAGCTGGTAGCGTTCTTTATAGACTAAGGGACAAAGC